CTGTGCCTTCCCCAGGACAACTTCTTTCTTGATATTTTAAAATGAGATGGAAGGCCATCTGCCTTCTGCCTCTCTTTGATTTTTCGACTGTCCACATTGTCTTTCGCAAAGATACTTCTCAGTCTGGCCCACATGGCTGTTGATGAGACCTATAGGCAACTGCCCTAAGAGCAGTTGGTGTTGCCACAACACTAGTGACATCACGACGTTGCCAAGAGCCCACCAGGATACAATAGAATGTAGAGAAAACAGACTGCTGATGTCACGGGGAACCCTGCTGATGTTCACTTTATGTTTACCATTGGCTGAGGGGTTCTTTCCAGAAGACTCTCCTGAGACATTGCCATTGACAACCACCTCTTTCAAAGCCACAGATAGCTCTAGCCATGATTAGAAACACGTTAGCTTTTGCCATGTGAAGAACTGAGTTTTAACTTTCCAACCATGCCTAGCAAAGTCTCATTCTTTCCTCAAAACCTCCTTTTTAGCAATATGAGAAATTAAACAGTAGCAAAATCTCATAACAGGATGAATGTGGCAGAGGAAAGGTCTCTTACTTTATGTGTACAAGTGTCTGTGAGAACTTCCAGGAAGAGCCTACAGTGATGGTTACAATGTGGGATTTTTGTTAGAGGGCATAGTCACAGAAGCCATGTGCCTGGCCTTTGAAATTTGCCTCCAGATGCCTTAGCCAATGGAGAGTGTAGCCATCAGGGTGCTGGCATCAGTGTGATGCACTCTTGGTAAAGAAACTTATACAGTGGAGGCACCAAGAGAAAAGGACTTCAGGCTGAGTGTGGTGCTCTCTGTCTACCACAGATACCAAAGCCCTTTTGGTTACAGGATTTCTGTGACTTACATAGTGAGATATTGTCTCAAGAAAGAGACAAGTCACCAGGAGTGGGTATGAATACATGTTATTTATAGCTCACTTGGCAGAATGACTGCCTAGCATTGAATAGGTTAAGGAATTTCAGGCAGATGCCTGTGCTGTAGGGATGATCAGATCCATCACTGAAATCTTCTGAAACACACTCACATAGAGAGCCGGTATGCAGTTGCTAGCTCTATTCCTAAGGAAATTGAGGTTCCTGTTCAGTGCCTGAGCCTGTGCAGTGCTGTTTTCCTCAGGCATACAACTCAGGATATGCTGCTCCTGCATGCCAGGCTCTATCTTGCATGATGCTTGGGTGCAAGGTGCCATCAGAGAAGGAAAACAGAGCAAGTTTCCTGATCTTGTTCAGGTGAGCTGGTAGCATGGGTATATTACGCCTATCTATAAAACGATGTGATACATCAGCAGCTCATCATGAATAACATAGTATCACTCAGATCCTGTTGACTATGATATGATATTTTTACAAAACCATCTCCAGTATTATCGGAGAAAGTAGTGTTCTCTCTAGTACAGCAGAGAACATGCAATACTCAGATCAACTTCTGACATTCATTTAAGGATAAGAAGAGCTCTAGACACAGCTGATGTGTGACTCTTATTCCTTGGGGTGCAAACAATAACTTCAGTCAAGAATGGACTTTGACCTGAACTATTTTGCCAGAAGGACACATCAGGAGGCTGCTTGTGGGTGTCGGTGTCTATAAGACCTGGAGACACAATGCACATGAATACGTTGACAGCAGTGACCACTAGCATTTCAGTTCACCTGGGAGTACTTGTGCGCTGTCTGGGTCCTGGAGAAATGCAGCTCAGGGAACTGGAACCATTTACAATCACGTTGATGAGAGAACACAGAGAAACTTAATGAGCTGAGTTGGGGTGTGAGAGCAGAGGCAAACACCTGGCCAATCATTTAACAATATGGTCCTGAAGGGGTGTGCTCCTTGCGCTCAATAGTGACCCCTATCACAGGTCCTACTCCTGATAGCTACTCCATGAGAGGAGAGTTTGCCTCACCTTGGGGACTGCAGTGTGCAGTACAGGGACCTCTTGCTGTTCTCCATGGTGTTGATGTACACCATGGCCTCATGGAGAACAGCCACACTGTCACATTTCAGGGCATAAATGAAATGACTCAGCATATCATTGTTTACCAGAAAGGCTCAAAAGGCTGCAGAACTGCCTGACAATAGTTTTCAGCATCACACTGAAAAGTTTCAGTAGTTTCATAGGTGCACATGCACACACACATGAAGGTCACAGAAGAGTTTGGGGAAGTTTTGTTCTAACATGTGGGTCTCTTGGAGGAACTCAGTTCTGTAGGCTTTCAGCCAGTACCTTGACATGCTGAGTCATCTCTCAAGGCAATCACCTCAATCAAGGTATTTTATAAGCCACATATCTGTATTTTTGTTCTCTATATATGTATCTATACTTCATTGGTAAGAACAGATTCCTTGTCCACTAAGAAAGAAAGCTCGCCTTAGTGAAAATACATGTTACCTAGTGGAGTCAACGGAGGGACTGGTGGTGAGTGGAAGTATGGAGGATTTAAAGTAACTATGGAAACACTCATTTTGTTGACTGTTAAAGGTCAGGTTCACCTCTCTTTTTCTCTGACTGGAAGGCCTGGCAGTCAAGTGGCTTTATTAGGTGGAAATGAATGAGGAGGCTCCTACCTCAAGAATGGAGGGCAGTGCTGGTCAGCTACTGTATGAGCTTCCAATTGTCCACTGGATGTTTTGTTTTCATTTTGGGTTTTGTGCTGGAGATGGAACCAAAAGCCTTTTGCATGCTGGGCATGTGCACTACTGCTGAGCCACTGACCCATGACTCTGCATGGACCTTGTGTCAGAAAAGAAAATCTTATGTATTCCAGGCAGTGTCAACTACGAGTTTGCATATCTTGTTAAGTGAAGGCTGGAGCCTACCTGCTCTCTCCAGTCATCTCTAGAAGGAACCACTCAATTTTTGTCAGCATTAGAATTTTCAAGTCCTTTCTAATTTATTTTACGTAATTATTTCTTTATGAGTTTATGCCTCTTTGTGTGTACACGTGCACACATACATGGACACACACATGCCATGGTTCCAATGCAAAGTTAGAGGACAACTTGTAGTGTTTTAACTCTCCTTTCTCTCAGGTCACCTGGCCTGGCAACACATACTTTTCAAGATGAGAAATCTAACCAGTCCCATCAAATACTTTCTAGAAGAAGGTCAGCTTCAAGATGACTTGATATCTTTACCATCCTGTATTGACTTAAAATACAGTTGGCAAGACCTTTAACAGGCCAGTGCACATAAAAATAAACAAATCTTAAAAAATATATTATGTATAAAATTGCTTGTGTCATCATCTTACACACCTTTATAATCATAGTAATTTTTTGGAAGTTCATTGTCTTAGAAAATGGCAGAATATATGTTCGTTTTCTCCACCCTTGCCCTGCACAACATTCTTCTGAATAAGCATCCATTGCTGCCATGTGGATTAATTTGTACAGCCCCAGGTCTGCTGCCATAAAAATGTCTCTGCAATCCCAAATTGTCATTCACTGTCATTCGCTCCTTCCACTCTCACCTTACTTTTTTATGTCTGTCCAAAGGCTAAACAGTGGAGTTTGGCTACTAAATTACCCTGTATTTTAATTTCATCTTTTCCTTGCAGGTGGAATGTCAAGGTGGGGCTTAGAAGCCATCAAAGGAAGCAGCTTTTACAATTCTTGTAAGTGTGCTAAGGTGTGGTAGGTGTTCAGACAGAAAGCTTACCCCCTCAGACATTTTAAGGTGGGGGCCTGGGAGAAGTAGAAGGGAGGAATGTATGGGTTTGTGATCAAAACACATTGTGTACAATGTATTAAAATTCTCCAGTGATAAATTCAAAAATCTGTAAAATGGTAAGTATTATTAAGACATTCATATTATGTAACCAGCCATCTCTAGAGCTCTTCATTCTGTGAAAATAAAACTTTATACTTTTCAAACAACCCATTGTCATTCAATTTTCAGCTATTGTCTATGTATAAGAATAAATTTCATATCTGATATTTACAGAGTTTTCGTTTAGGATAGTTCTGTGGAAAGTTCTGATGATGTGTGTTGTAAAGAGAAGAGAAGAGAAAGGAAGAAGGGATCCATGACCTCAGACAGTATCAGGCTTTGGCTTTGTTCCTTGTGTCTGCATCTGAGGAAGTACACACAGGTTGATTCTGTGCTGATGAGCTTCTTTATCTGTGGAGAGCGGGTGCCAGCCTGGACCATGCTCTAGTTAAAGTGGAAAGCATCCTTCCTGCTGGACTGCCACTGGAGCACAGCGTCAGCTCATGCCTCATGGTCATCAGCCCTATGCTGAGGACAAGGAAGAGGTGAGTCAATAAGGCACCAAGATCAGATCATTGTATAGGGATTCAGTTGTTTATGTTATGGAGCTTGTTCTATCTAGAATTCATACTTTCCACTTTTCAATGACTCTGAAATATCAGTAGAACTTGTATATAGATTATGGAGTGAGGAAAACTTCTATGGAAAGATGACAGTCTTAAAATATTATTGTTTTTATGGCTGTTTAAGTAATGACTCTGCTCCCCAAACCAGCTCTTCCTCATTGGTATTTCCTTTCTCAAATACAAATTGCCATCTCTCACATGTAAATCTCTGCCTTACAGGTTGGAAAGCGGTCTGATGGAGCAAATTCTCCATCACAAGTTGACTTCTTACTGCTTCCTGTGGTTTTAACCTGAAGCACTTTCATGGGATTTCTGTGGGTTGCAGGCTGACTCACAATAGATGCATGGACATATAAAGACTTGTGTTCAAGGGTCCAGCTTTAATCTCAAGTAAAAGAACCTTGAGATGCTCTCCTATGGTTGATGTAGGCCGTAATAGCTGTGCTTAAATGTAAAGGGTGGAAAGACTGACATCTGCATCATTAACAAAATCAGGGAGAAGGCTCAGGTTAACATCCATCCTCAGTTCATTTTCTGTGCAGCAGGGGGGGTCTCCTAACACAGACTCATTTCTGTGTCATTTATAACTAAATCAACTCATAGTTTCTCTGAGTTAACACCTCTTCATGCTAAGCATCAAGACCGTTTTCTAGATGACAGTAAAGATGGACTTTTCTTCAGGCTTCGTGGCTACGCTGATTCTCATACTAGGTAAGTAAAGTGACTTTAAACAGCAAAGTCTTTAGCTGGAATTTACTTAAGAACATTATTCTCAAGGAGGAGACACTGAGCTCTCTCTCTCTCTTTCCCTTTCTCTCACTCTCTCCTTTTCTCTCCTTTCCTTGCACTGTAGGAAGGACCCATGGAGATTCCATGACTCAAACAGGAGGCCAAGTGACCATCTCAGAAGGCGAGTTCCTGACAATAAATTGCACATATTCAACCACAAGTATAGCATATGCTGCTCTTTCCTGGTATGTCCTATATCCTGGAGAAGGCCCGAATCTCCTCCTGAAAGTCATCACAGCTGGCGAGAAGGGAAGCAGCAGAGGGTTTGAAGCCACATATGATAAAGGAACCACCTCCTTCCACTTGCAGAAAGCCTCGGTGCAAGAGTCAGACTCGGCTGTGTACTACTGTGCTCTGGGTGACACAGTGGCAGACATTGCAGGGGGAGCTGAGCACAAACCGAGAGGAAACAGGTGGCCTGGCTGCTGCGCACCTGCCTCTGAAATCACTGACTTCAGCACAGCCGTCCCTGTGAGGTCTTCCATGTCTCTGCTGGTGAAAATCACAGCAATGTCTGCATGCCAGGCCACATCAACTTCACAAATCAGTAGAAAAATGAAGACGGCTCCGGGGTCATGGCTGTAACTCATTCAAGCCATGTTCTCTCAGTGCTGGGGATTAAACCCAGAGCCCTGCGCATGCCAGACAAGTGGCCACCAGTGAGCCCACATTTTAAACCTTATCTACAGGTAATCAAATGTGCTGGAGAAAGTGACCTGTACATAATGTGACCTAACAGAGTCTGGAAGAAAGGTGACAGAAAATGGCAATCATTCCCTAACAAAGCTCTGTGGAATTCTTTCTTTTTCTCTCACATATAAATCCCAACTGCAATTTCCCCTCCTCCCACCAGTCTCTGCCCCCCACCCCCCACCCCATCTCCCTGAACCATCAGCCCTCTGTTTCTCCTCAGAAAATAGCAGGCCTCCCAGTGACAGCAACCAAACATGATAATACAAGTTACAGTAAGACCAGAAATGTCCTGTCAGAAATAGTCCCTGTTCCCCTTACTAGGAAGAACCAATTTGTTACTGAGCTACCATGGGCTCCATCCGAGCAGAGGTTCTAGGTTATATCCATACATGGTCCTTGGTGGAGTGTCAGTCTCAGAAAAGATCACTGTGCCCAGATATATTTGGTCTTTGTTGAGCTCCTATCCTTTCCATGTCATA